TATATATATATATATATATTGAGAAAAATACAAGTAATATTTTCATTCAGAAATAATAAAGTCCTGATATATACTTTCAGGATATAACAAAGTCCTAGTATGTATACATGTAGATTTTTCTTCTTTGCTACTTCTAAAGAGTTCTTATATTTAAAGAACTTAAGAAATGACTTTTCATAATAGTATTATTCTTTTATGAACAAATGATTTTTCATAATAGTCATGTTCTTTTATGAACATGTATGTATGTTCAATTTAGAATTTTTTACCAAACTAAGCTGTTATTTAAATCAATTCACCAAAATAATACGTTTTTTTTTACAAAACTAGTATAAACGTATTTCTGAGTAACGTTTTAGGATATTTTTATTTTAAAAAATTCAACGGACAAAAACTAACGGAACTGACGACGTTAAATGAATAAACATACTCTTGAGTAACGTTTTGCACGAGTACATTTATTGAGAATTCTATCACGGACCACTGATGAATCCAATCCTGCAAATGCAAATGGCCAATTGGTCTTGATGTCCTTTCTCCTAATTTTGAAAACGAAATCCCTACAAATCATGAAATCTCATCTCATACACATTCATGAAATCTCATACCATAAATCTCAACATAAAAGTCATCTCATACCATAAATATAGTTACATGAAATCAATAATCGCAATGAATTCTCCAATGAGTAATAAAACTTGTTGCTTTACAAAAGTCTCCATTTATATTTATGATAACTCTCTGTGACAACTCCAACTGCTCCAACATGCATGTTACGATAAATATTCTACAATAAAGAGAGGTAAGATGGCAATTGAACACAGAGTCCGGAGCTAAAGGCAACTTTTTTTCTTCAAAAAACAAAAGCGGCACATCAAAAAAAAATTTAACCAAAAGGGTAAAATTGCTCATGACGGAGCGATTTTCTTCTAACAAAAATCCTTTAAAAGAAATGAATAAAAAAAAAATTCTTTCTCTCTTTAAAATCACTGCTATAGCAGGGTTTTTATTAAACAAAAATTAAAAGTAAAAATCGCTCCTATAGCAGCAATTTCTTTTTAAGGAATTTTAAAATAAAAATAAAAATACATAAATCGCTGCCCTGGCAGCGATCTTATGAATTTTTATTTTAAAGAATAAAATAAAATTGCTATGGCATCGTTTTAATAAAAAAAAAAAACTGAAGTTGATTCGCTGCCATTCAAGTGATTTAAAAAGTAAGAAAATAATTTAGTATTTTGTAAATTCAAAATTAAAATAAATATGTAAGTACACTGCATTTATATCATAACTATATTATAACAAATAATGACCTATAGCAGCATTTAACTTCAAAAGAATTTATTTTTTTAATCAAAAGGCTGCCATTGTTTGTAACAAATCGCTGCTATAGCAGCAATTTTACTTTTAATTTTTTTTTTTTTTTATAAAAACGCGATTTTAAAGAAAAAAGTTTTTTTCTTTTAGAAAATCGCTGCTAAGGCAGCGATGTTTATTTAAACGGAACGGCGTCAATTTGTCAAAAAAAATTGCTCCGTCAGGAGCGATTTTACCCTTTTGATTAAATTTTTTTTTGATGTGTCGTTTTTGTTTTTTCAATGGAAAAAAAGGGTCATTTTGGCTCCGGACTCATTGAACACAACTGGTCACTTCATTTGCATTTGCAGGATTGGATTCAGTGGCCCGTGATTAGATTCTCAATAAATGTACTCGTGAGTAACGTTTTAGGTGTAAAACGTTACTCAGAGTACGTTTATTCATTTAAAGTCGTCAACTCCGTCAGTTTTTGTCCGTTGAATTTTTAAAATAAAAATACCCTAAAATGTTACTTAGAAATACATTTATCCTAGTTTCATAAAAAAAATTAAAAACATATTATTTTGGTGATTTGGTTTAAATAATGGCTTAGTTTGGTAAAAAAATCTTCAATTTAAGACCTCTATAAATTACAAAATGACTTTTCATAATAATTATCTTCTTTCATGAACAGATATGTATGTTTAATTTAAGACCTCTATCTATTAAGTACAAAAAATATCTAACAAAACGTACATACATAAATATATGTGTCTATATAATCATATTGGTCACTTGTTCTTCAATTGTTAGTTATGGCTGACAATCCAGAGGAGTACCGACCAGAGTGATTCTTAAATAGTAATATTGATGTCAAAGAAAAATCCTTACCGTATTTGTTTGTAACTTCTGTTTTGCTATCTAGGTACTATCTACTTGGGTCCTTACTCAAGAAGTTCCAACAAGGCAAAATCTTAGCGCCAAAATTAAAGAGTAAAGAATTAAAGATGATAAAGAGAGAAAAAAGATGGGGTCAAACAAAATGTCGGAGGAATTGATAATATTGCTCATCAACAAGTAATACGAGACATTTCAATTATTTTAAAAGAAAATATGTCTGAAAATAGTACAAAAATTCTCATAAACAATATCATCAAGGCAAATTAAAGACTTACAACGGAATTTCACCAATGGTATTTCTTGAAATGCCCTCTTATGTGATGAGAAAAAAAACCCTACTATCATTAGTGCTCTTGAAATGTTTTTAATTAAACTTTTATTCTATATTACATACTTAATACAATACTTTTTTCGTTTTAGTTTATTTGTAAATATTGCGCATTGATTATTGGATTTAAATAGTAGCACCAATATAATAAGCTTCTTTTTTCTTTCTTTTGGTGGCTTAAAATATTTTATAAGTTTTCGTTATAAAAAAAATATTAATTAGGGAAGAACCTTACCAAGGCTTGACATACCACAAATCCTCTCAAAAGAGAGGGGTGTCTTAGGGAAGGCCGGCACATATAGTGCATGGTTCTCGTCAGCTCGTGTGGTAAGGTATTGTGTTAACTCTTGCAACAAGTGCAATCCTCATTTTTTGTTGCCATTGTTGAGTTCAAAATCTTGAATGAACTGTCAATAATAAGTTGGAGAAGATGAGGATGACGTCAAGTCATCATGCCCCTTATATATGCCACGGGCAACATATGTTCTATGCCCGTAACAAAGACTCACAATCCTGCAAGGGTGAGCTAACCCCGAAGTCTTCATGTCGTGTTATCTAGGACCTCATTTCAAAAAATACGATTCATGGTGGCGTCTTTCCGAAGGTTCCTCTCTTTATCTGTCTCTATTTTATTATTTTTATCAAGGAAAAGAAGTTTCGTAGACATAACTTATTTATACAAACTTATGCCGATAGAGACTAAGTTCTCTAAATTTTTGTTGAACAAGACAACTTTTTTAAGGTTTGGCAAAAAAGTCATAAGATAAAGTTCGCAAGGCATAAGTTATGTTTTACTAGGAAGTAGGAACAATCCTTGCAAAAACTTGTCACTTTTTTATGGGCCAATGTTGGGCCTTTATATTGTAGAAGCAAAGAGAAGCCCGACAATGGGTCATTACATGGTTAAGGCCCACAGATCTAATCCAGCTTTAAAAAGTCCGAATACAACCCGATATTAGCTTGAATGTGATAAGGTCGCGAACGGACACGATCTCGACACTTGTTCGGTTTCGATTTGAGATTAACCGACTCTTCAAAATTTGTTAGGTCAATATTAGGTGGATACCCCTAGGGTTTGTTATTTCGCATCAATCTCTTCCGTCTTATCATTACTTTCTTCGCTATTATTCTCTCTCTCTAAAGCTTTCTCTCTCTAGATTTCTAAGCTTTCTGCCATGGAGACGGAGCGCGTGACCGGTTTTCCGTTGACGAATCTTGACCGACGGCCAAGAAAGAGGGCGCGTCTGGGCTGGGATGTTCTCCCTGAACCACCTAAGGTATTAGATCTATCCTCTAATTCATCGATCTTTTTATTCTATCTTTGTTGTTTTTTTCGCTTTGGTTTTGCTAGATCTGATCAAGATTAGGTTTATTTCGCGTCAGGTATGGGAAAGACTCAGTCTTGATGTGTTCTATGTTGTTTCTAGATTAGATCTATTGTTGTTCTTACATGATATGGTATTTTTTTTAGCTGGGTTTTTGTATTTCAGGGTTTGATTTTTGTTTCTTCAGCCGTGAGGGTAAAAATTACTTATATGTTAACGATTCTTTTCTTTTTTTTCCCTGATGACCGTTTTATAATCAGATCTGACATGAATTATCTGTTTTTGAGATTTTGTGATTATTATGATGTTTCAATTTAATTTGAATAGTTCTTTTCGACTAAAATATTATGTGAAAGGATATCATAATGTTAATTCAAATTTTCGAAAAAAAATCTCATGTGTATCTGATTTCTATGTTAAGAGGGTGGACTGTATTGATTCGCCTGATGAACTGTTGCACAATTGGCTAGAACTCTATCTTAACTTTTAGAGAAATAAACAAATGCAAGTTTTTCCAAACAATTTTTTTTGCTGTAGAGTTGTTACATAAAAAAATATTTCTTTGCAGACGATTGTGGTAGTATCTTTCATGAATTTTAGAAGTTGGGATATATTATATAAACTTGATCTAAGCCCTTATTGCGGCACTTTGTTTTCTGTATCTTGCTCCAACTATTGATTTATGGGTATTTGGTTACTGGTTGATTGTTTTTCCCAGTCCTTTATTATTAACATTGCTACTTTGTGTTATGTTTTGTGAATTCTATTTACTACTTTGAAGGCATCCAAAGGTAATAATAAAATTAGTTTTGTATTAAGATACCATGAATGGAATGCCTGTGTGTAGGCTCAGCTAGGATTGTTTTGTGGACAAGATGTTGGGAATGTGACAAGCTATGCATCTTCAAGGCAACTCACTGACCTTACTAGTGCTCCCTTTACTATTAAGGAAGTGGCTCAAAATGGTTCACCCCCTCGGAGAGAAGATGACAAGGATGGACATTTTGTGTTTGAGCTGGGAGAAAATTTAACATCACGCTGTAATCATCTTTACCATCACCAAAAAATTCTACTTATGTTTTGGTGCCTTGGTTACTATGCTGACCATCTGATTACTTCTGTTACACATAATAGTTTATGCACCCTAATATAATATAAAATGATTTAACATATTCACCTTTTCCTAAAATCCTACTGTACTAGCAATATAGTTGATATTATCATGTCTATCAGCTTTTAGATGTTTCCTATTTGTTCCTTTGATTTGATGGTCATCTATTTCGGTTTTATTTTGATTCATAACAAAAATGATTCTTTAAAATGAATAAAGAAGGAAGAGAGTATTGTGGAATGTGTACTGTGTATTTCCCTTATCTGCTCTATATCCCCCTAATGGTTTTTAGATTTTCCTGTAATGTAGATAAGATCCACAGTAAGATGGGTGAAGGTACTTTCGGTCAGGTCCTAGAATGCTGGGATCGTGAAAGGAAAGAAATGGTGGCTATAAAAATTGTTCGGGGTATGAAGAAGTATCGTGATGCAGCAATGATTGAGGTTGAAATGCTTCAACAGCTTGGTAAACATGACAATGGCAATCGGTGAGTAATTGCCTGTTAAATCTACTGTTATTGTAATCTGTGTACTCATTCGCGGGAATTTTGTTATTTGTCAAGTGTTGAACTGGTTTGTTCCTTGCAGTTGCGTACAAATATGGAACTGGTTTGACTATCGTAATCATATCTGTATTGTAAGTATATATGATTGATTTGGATGGGTTAATTTCCCCACCTTACAATCTTATGGGGATTAAAATTTTGGATGAACTTAAATGGTTTTAACAGGTCTTTGAGAAGCTTGGACCAAGCTTATATGATTTCCTTCGGAAAAACAATTACCGTTCATTTCCCATTGATCTTGTCCGTGAGATTGGAAGACAACTGTTGGATTGTGTAGCATGTGTGTAAAAAAAGCTTTGAGCACTTCTCTTTTCTTCAATCATGCATATATATTAGATGCAGATAGGCTTTGTGCTGAATATAAAATGTACCTCATGATCAGGACCGTATGCATTGTATTTATCATTACTTCATTTGAATAGTGTCATCATGCATACTTCATTTGAATAGTTATATACCGTCTTGTAATTGATTATGATCTGGCTTATCTTGTAGTTATGCATGATTTGCGCCTTATCCATACTGACCTGAAGCCTGAGAACATACTTCTCACCTCCCCAGAATATGTAAAGGTTCCTGACTACAAGGTAAGCTTATTTGATTGGTTATGCCCTTTTTTGTGTACTTCAATATGTGTTGAACGCAACCTTACTTCGTAATTTGTTCTTGATACTACTGCTCATGTTTGCCAATTATTTAATACAGGTGTCTTCTAGGTCACCAAAAGATGGTTCTTACTATAAAAGAATCCCAAAATCAAGTGCTATAAAGGTAATTGATTTTGGTAGCACTACATACGACCGTCAGAATCAGACATATGTTGTGTCAACTCGTCATTACCGTGCACCTGAAGTTATTCTAGGTAAGGAGTTCAAATATCTAGGTGTTTTCTCCATTATTCTTGCATCAACGAAGCATTCAATTCACCACATCTATTTCAGGTCTTGGATGGTCCTATCCTTGTGATATATGGAGTGTTGGCTGTATCCTTGTGGAACTTTGTTCGGTAAGCTCTGTTCAATCTGGATTAACCTTGGTTTCCTTCAATTATTTGTTGCCAACTGATTTGTCTTGCAACTTCATCTAGGGAGAAGCATTGTTTCAAACACACGAGAATTTAGAACACCTTGCTATGATGGAGAAAGTACTGGGCCCTCTGCCTCAGCACATGCTGAAAAGAGTGGAGTAAGTCAATAGATTTGTTGTCTACTTCAACAGCGGCTCGCTTGATTCAATTAGAGAGATGACTCTTTCGTTATTCTATGTAAATTGATGAATTACTTCCTACTCTAATCACAGCCGTCAAGCGGAGAAGTATGTTAGAAGAGGAAGGTTGGACTGGCCTGAGGGGGCAACTTCCCGGGATAGTATTAAAGCTGTGTTGAAGTTGGCCCGTCTTCAGGTACTTTTTCTAATCCTTTTTTTTTATGCAGTTTGGCTGAATGAATTTGCATGGTGTTTACTAATAATTGTGCTTTATATTGCAGAACATAATCATGCAGCATGTGGATCACTCTGCTGGTGATCTTATTAATCTTTTGCAAGGACTTCTTAGATATGATCCTTCAGAAAGATTAACTGCTCGGGAAGCCTTGCGGCATCCATTCTTCACTCGTGATCATCTTAGGAGATAGATTAAGTTTTTTGTCTTTTCTTTTTACTCGTGTGCACTCAATGCCATTGCCCCTCCAACCTTGAATGCCATTTGATGTGGTGGTGACCGGAAGCCAACTCTGTTGGCTCATTGTGGTGTTGGGTGAATTTGATGCTTGCCCCTGTGTAAATAAATCCAGAATACTGGTTTTTTCGGGGTATTCTTGTATTATTATATACTACTAGGTTAAGGCTGTTGTGGAAGTCCCACCATTGTGTGTATAAAGATGATATCTAACCCTCAATTACTAACAAACAAAAATTGAATTTAAGGATGGAGTTTGCTTTCGTACTTGAGTTGTGAGATTTGTGTCTTGGATTCTTGCAAGATATTTTTACTTCCTGTATTATCAAATTTGTGAAACATGTAATATTAGTTTCCTTCATAGGAGATTTTTAATTTAGTTTAACATTTAGTGAACTCTAATTTGGTGAGGAATTTTTTAATCGGAGACAGCCCAAGAGAAAATAATTATGTAACACATTCTGTAAAGAACCTTGGAAAGCTTAGTGCTAAAATTCTTCTTGCATTCTGTGACCGGTACCTGAACTATAAGCTGGAATATTTCAGAAAATATAAAAAAAATTAATCAGAAAAACCAAGTAAGAATTCTTTTATCTCAGCATTAACTAACACTTTCTGTCAAACGATCACACGATACGGCAGTTCATAAGTTTAAATTTCTATAAATCTAAAATATCTGGTTCTGTTTGATTATATTAAGAACAAATCCAAGAAAAAATAATCAAACAACAAATCATACATGTTTGATTTGTTTATATATGCTTCTACTCGCAAAATTATAGCTTATAGATCACAAAACATTTTCATTATAATACCAAAAAATTATTGCTCTACCGTATTAAAGAATACTCCCTCCATTTCAAATTAATTGAATTGTTGAGTTGTTTCACACCCTTTAAGAAAAGAAGATTAAGACATAAATTAGGTATAACTTTTCATTTTTACTCTTGTTAATTATTATCAAATTTATGATTAAAATAACTAAACATTAATTCCAATACTGACTAATGAAGGGTACAATTAGAAGAATATTCTAAAAGTAGTCTTGAAAACTGAATAACTAACTTAATTTGAAAAATGAAAAATGTCTCAACAATTCAATTAATTTGAAATGGAGGGAGTATTAAAGAATTATATGTTGATGAAGAATGATAAGTTCTTTTCAAATTAATGTTGATATTTAAAAAAATCATTTAAATTAATTTAATTTTGATTTTAATCAAAACTAGACAGAGTTTGTCCACGCATGTGCCTTCGCTTGCTCCCAATGTGTAATATTCCACCAATAATTTGCTCTGTCCTCCGCTATCATTTACTTCCCTTGTAATTTGTGAACTCTTTCGAATATTGGAAATTATGGGTGTGTTCGGCAGGAGGAAACTTTTTTTTTTTTTTTAATGTTTAGTAGATTAATATATCAAAAAAATATTTTATTTTACGAAAACAAATACATTTCTAGTTTAGGTAGGAAAAATAAGTTCCACCTTACAACATACTTCATGTTCTCCGCAAAGCTTCTATCTCCACCACCTGACCACCATATGCCCTTACCCCCAATCCTATTTTCCATCATATTTACTTATATAAGTTATATATTTACAATAATATTTTTTGCTTATGATATGAACACATGAAAAAAATACATAAAATTCACTTATTTTCTTAGTAAACATTTTTTATGAGAAATATTTTCCTACCATACCAAAACACACCATATATTATTATTTTTGAACTTTCATTGCTACTCAACACTTTTTGGTAACGCTTTGCCTTCACATTTTAGTCGGTAGTGTATATGCATATTTTCTAGGAATTTCATTATGTAGTTTTCCGTAGTTATTGCAAGATTTTTTTACGAATGAATTGGTATGAAGTCTACCGCGTGTCTCGCCTATGTTTTGAATCACTATATGACTTTTTTTTCGATCCCTTTCTTATCACAAGATATTAGCTAAAATCTATGGAATGACAAATCTACTGCTTGTATCCACTCGAGTGGCTGAAAAAATTTGGTCTGTAATTGTAGCAGGGTCCAAGTAGTACAGCCATAAAGGTCCATTTCAAAATTTGATCAAAGACACAAGTGCAACAAGCCAAAATAAAGCTACTTTAGAGAGTTGTAATAACATGCAACGTACTTCATTAATTTGTTTCAAATGTGTCCCCTTCTATTTTATTCTAGCTAGCCCCTCAGCTCCATATTGGGACACTTACTACACAACCAATGACAAGTCCACAATGAGACATTTCCGCCAAGATTGTAACATGTCAAAAATACTTTTCATGTACCCAAAATAAAAAACGAAAATCTTTTTTTTTCGAAAATTCTTCATTCCTGGGAAGAGGAAAGTGTATATCGACGTATCAACATGTTTTTTTTTCTTTTCCTGTGAATGAAGTCCATAATGATAATTAATCGTAACCTGAGGAACCTGTGCATGGTCCCCGTTGGAACCAATCATCTTCCTTTTCGGTATGCATAGTGGTTTCTTTGATCGGATACGCGTTAAACAGTGATAGAGTCATAATTTTCATCAAGGGGTTCAAAATATGAAGAGGTAAGACATACAAAGAGGCTGAGCTCAACATATACATATTTACACATAAAAAATATTTTTAATCATGAATAAATAAATTTTTTATTTTTATTGAAAGGATGCATTTGAACTCCTCAATCCTACCTGACTACGTTCCGTGTTCGGGCACCATCCTCCTCCAACAGCCCAACCCCTCGGGTCTATTGGGGTCACTCACTATGCAACTGGCAAAGATAATTAACCTTTCTATCTCAATTTCTCATGATGTCTATGTTGCTTTTTGTGCCTTTTTTTTCACGAGTGGAAGTAGATAAGTCGTGCAACAATCAACAAAGGTGGAAAAAGTGGATTTTTTTTAATATTCTATGGATATTTTTTTAAAAAAAACGAAAAACTTTTATTCTTCTTCTGTCTCAATCTATACATTACATTTTATTCTTTTTTTTAAATATATATCAAAAATAAAATATCTTATTTGTACACTTAAAAATAACTTAACCATTAAATTTACTATTTTATCCTTAATGTGAATGTCAAATATTAAATTCTACAAATTCTATTTATTAAATTTCGTGTTCAATTAAACCCGCGACATAAATAGAAACTTAGGGAATATGATGAGATCTTCATTATGAAAAAAAGAATTTAAACTTTCAGTCAAATCCTAAAAATCAGCCGCCTTATCATTATTTATTTTTTCTTTGACTTTTTAGGCCCATCAAGCACTCATCCTTTTCCCCGCATCTTCTTATTCTTCTTCTATTATTTCTTCAAAATTCCAAAAGTAAGGTCCAAATTTGTTAGCTTTTTTTTCTGTCATTTTTTTCCCTTTTGGAATACTCTCAAAAAAGATTAAAAGAGATGCCCTCAATTTGGTATAAAAAAATATATAATCTGAAAAAGTAAGTCACATTTTCGTGTTGAGTGTCAAAAAAATTTCAACGAAAATGTTTCCCACTAAATGAAGAAAAATAACTGAACTGCGAGTTTAGAAACTTTTGAATCAATAAAATTCAAATCATAAATATGTCTTTGTAATTATATATATCAATGTGTTAACTTATATTACTGTTCTAACTAAAACTCAGACAGTATTATCAATTCTTGAAAAAATTAATCAAAACAATTTCTAAAATTTTTGCTCAATGTTTTAAGGAATTTATTTTCAAAATATGAGTAAATCGTCGAAAAACAGAAAATGTTTCTATCAAACGAAAAATAATTTTATTTAAAATTAAAAAGAAACGTGACTTTTCTTAAAATGTTGAAAATTGGAGTACCACTCATAGCAAAAAGCAAACTTTAAGAGTAATAAATTATGCGGTGTGTGTTTATTTTCAGAATTTGAGAGTCCAAACGTACCTAAGTTCTCATAAAATTTTGCATAATTCTAATCATGCACAAGCTATTACAAGTCAACTTGAATTGAGTTATTATTATAATAACAAATCACGTTATTTTTTTTTGAACTTAGATGATTACTTAACAAAACTGAGGAAGAATAACAAAAAATATTAATACTGAGAAGTAATGATCATAGTTGATTATTATCACGTTCGACAAGAAACCACAAAATAGATACCAATACACCCAACTTTCTTAGCAATGCAGAATTTCAATTAAGCCAAATGTAAATAAAGAAGTAATGCACCATAATGAGTAATAAGACAGGAAATGGAAAAAAGCACTTTAACACAATTTAATAATACTATTAAAATGCTCATAAAATCAACAAAATTTATTTAAATTGATTAGATGAATTTTCAGATAAAATATTAATAATTGAATGACTAAAATTGAATCACTTTCTAACTAACCTATTAAAGTCTAAGTTAGAAATCTCATATTTAAACAATTAGGCGAACTATTTAAGGTTGAGTAAACTAAAATACTAAGGACCTATTTGGAAGGCCACAATGGAATTGGGAATTAGTGTAATTGGTGTAATTACTCTCTTTTATCCTGTTTGGTAGACCAAGTAATTACTTGGTAAGAGGGGAATTGGGTGTAATTGAAGGGGAGTAATTACACTCCTCAATTTTCAAGGGAGGGTAAGGAATTGAGTGCTAAATGGCCAGAAAAATGTGGCTAGAATTTGGCCAGAATAGTGAAAAAGACTGTTATAGTCTTTTTTCTCCAAAATAAAATTAACTTTTTGATATTTTCTAAATAGTATGAGCATTTATTATTATGATAAGATGAATTTTCTGGGTCCCATGCCTTATTCCTTCTTCAATTCTTTTTTTTTCGTCATTTTACTTCTCCTTCTTGACTTTTTTTTTTTTGGCTCTTCTTATAAAAAAAAACAAGAATATGGTGAAAATAAATAATTATATTTAAGAAATTAAATTGGTTAAATTCATCCTATGAAATGAAACAAAAAAAATAATATTTGCACAAAAAAAATCATAATTTATTTGATTTAATGTCAAATTCTCTATGTATATATAATTAATACATTAATTATTTTTTGTAATATGACTCAATTTTAAATACACTCTCTATATTTCAAAACTTAAACAATTTAACACTTTATGTACTATAAGAAATATACACTTACATCTCCAACTAAGTTTATCTATAACTAATTATATTAAAATATAATTATTAAATAATAAATTAGAACTATAAAAAAATCTTTTTGTGAAGTTATTCTTACAAAATTAATTAGGGTCGATACTTATAAGTAATACAAATTTTATGATTTCTATAATGTTTTGATGTTTATCATATATATAAAGT